TGTTTTTGTTGATATTTTGCCTGTATATATGTAATCGAGCAGAGGGTACTGGGTTTTTTTTTGGTACTAATTTCAGGGATTTCTTGTGTAGTTTTTGATTTAACATTTTATTAATTGTTTGTTCGTTGTATCCGTTATTTACTGCTATTTGCTTGATGATATTTATTTCTGTCTCAAAGTTGTATTTTGACATCTGAATTTTTGTTAATTAATGTAACGTACTATGATACTTTGCCAGTTTATGTTGTGTTGGATGGGATCATGAATAGTGTATAGTCGTGTCAGTATGGGTAGGTTTATGAAATATGGAGAAGTCATGTTTGTTTTTAAGATAATTTTTAAATCTAAAAAATTTATGGATTGATTTTGTTCTGTTTCTATTGTAAATTCAATATAACTATGAAGTAAATTCATATATGATAAAAATTGATCGAGTTGCCTGTTAGTATATTAATTCACTTCATAATCACATTATTGTATTAATTACGTGATAAACTTATTGATTATATTTTTTTTTATTTGTAGACACAGATTACAATAAATAAAGGATGTAAAAAACAAAATTAATGTATTTAAAAATGTTTGAAAATTTCGTTCAATCAAAAAAGTTTTTATAACTAAGATTTATATATACTTTTTCTAATTTTGCTAATAAAATATGTCTAATTCCGATATAGCTACGTTCCAAGTGAATAGAGATAAAAATAAAGATACAGTATCTAGAATAAATGTCACTATTAATATGTTAAAATTCGCCATTTTGAAAAGTCTCAATATTGAAAGCCATCCATCATCTTTTCCAACTAATGAAAACATTAATTTATATGCAAATTACGAAAATAATTTTGTAGTTTCGAATTGATTTTATGCCTTTATATAAATATATTTTTACATGAATATTTACAGGTTTGTCATTAAGTACAGGTTTGATTCATTTGCTTGTACTACTTTGTAAATTAAATTGAATTACGTGTCACTAAATGGAAGATGTTTTTTTTTGATGCAAAGATTTTATAGTTACCGGTTTCGTGACTAAAAATTTTTTTCAATGGTTTTAGAGCTTGCTCAAAAAATATTTTAACAATACGATGTAGAATAGATTTAATCTTTTGGTGGTATTTAATTCTTCTTCTTCTAGTTCCATGACCGTTATCGATCGTTGGATATCATGTTGGCTACCATATTCGCTATCGCGACTTTATTGACAGCAGCTCTAAATAACGATGTAGTTGATTTTCCATACGATTGCCTTAGATTTTTCAGCCATGATGTTCTTCTTCTACCAGAACCACGATTACCTTGGACCTTTCCCTGAATGATCAGATGTAAAAGATCACATTTTTCAGGATGTCTCATAATGCGACCGAAGTATTCCAGCTTGTGGTTCTTTATTATATTGACCAGTTGTGTTGTTTGGTTCAGCCGTCTAAGGACCTCCTAATTTCTAACTCAGATGAAGAACTCAGAGAATAATAATTTGCAAAGGATGGAAATGAAAATGCAGATTCGTCAGAAAATAAAATATTTTTAAAACGTGCACATTTTCATTCTGTTTATACAATATAATTTCACAAAACTCCATCCGCCGAAAGTTATCTTCCGAAAAGGGTTCTTGTATTGGTTGTATTTTAAAATAATGATACTCATTCCTTTTGAGAACTCGTTGGACAGTTCGGGCATTCACATTAACTTTGCATACACAAGCAATTTGTACGCTATTGCAGGGTTCACTAGCTTCCACAAAAGCACAAATATCAATATGCCTGTTTTGACGCTCCTTATCGACAGGCGTAACACGTGGTTCATTACCTTTATGACACTTTTTACAACTGTTTACACATCTTGAAGATTAAAAATGTTTAATGTTTTTTTTTAACTAAATAGTATGGGTGTCTATTTTGGAAGGCAACAATAAATAAATCAATTATTTGGCATATCGAATGACCCTGAAAGTACCATGTTGTAAGTTTCTCTTTTTCTTGTACGGTATACCATGGAATATGCATTTTATTAATTATTTTTTTATTCTTTCAGAACTTTGTTTAAAAATTTTAATGTCAATGTGACAATTACGACAATTCGTACCTACTGTAAAATGAATATGGGGGTGAAATAAGTAAAAATTAAATTAAAATCAACTATATTTAAGTATATAATCGTTTTCATCGTTCTTGGCGTGTGCGTGTAAAAACACTTGCAATAAGTTGTTTCATGTGTCTTTCCTTGTCTAAGCTCGATTCGTTTACCTCCTCCAGTGGCGGAGCAAAATGTAGCATGTTAAACGAAATAATAGTTATAATAGAAAATTATAAATTATTTTTCATTAAATTTCTAATAACGGAATATACGTATAAATTGCGAAGAAGTATTTTTCTAGCTTGCAGTACAATAGGACAGGATATAACGAAAAGTACATTCTAAAAGGATTTTGAAATATACCCAAAAAAGTGTTAATTATTTAACCCACTTTAATTAAAAAATGATACAAATTTTTTAAGTTTTAAGCACTGTAGCGAATTCTGAACTGTTACAACGTACTGACCTGATTAATTAGCTAATCAGTCAGCGTCTTCACTGGAACTGTCTTCATCATTGGAATCTTCCGCCAAATCGATGATAATTCTACTTTCATTTTCATCATATGTGACCATTTTTGCCCAGTCGTCCTGAATTAATTTTTCAGTATGGTTAATACAACTTGCCCACACTGCAGGTGTTGCCTCAGCTAATGCATCGCCCCAAACTTTTTTCACTGTTTCATCTCCACGTCCATGTTCTCCAATATGACGATCATAGTATTGTTTAGAAATGCCCCAGACCAACTCAATCGGATTATATTGACAGTGATATAAAGGCAATCTCAAAACCTGATGCTCATGTTCTTGGAGTAGCTCGTCTATAACGTACCTGGTATTTTGTGGTTTATTCTGGCGACAAAGACTTAATAGCTCTGTCTTGCCCGAATCGTCGTCAAAAATTTTTTTTCGGTCGTAACCATTCTTGTAAGTCCGATTTTTTCCAACTGGCATTCGGTAACTTTTCTATTAAAGAGTTATGGTATGAGGCATTATCCATAATAATTGGAGATGGTTCCTTTAACATTGGTATCAGCTTTTTGGAGACCCATTTTTTAAAAGACTCTTTATCCAAAGAATCATGATAGTCTGCACTCTTCGATTTCGTAGAAAACAGTAATCCAGCATCTTTAACAAATCCTTGCCTACTTGCGACCTGTAAAACAACAAAGCGTTCACCTGTATTTTCGTGTCCTTTTCTGATGATTTTCACACAGTCTTCTTGCCAAGTACGTTTATTTGCCCCTTTTAGGAATATCCATGTTTCATCCAAAAAAACAAACTGAAGTGGGCTTGGACTTAAAAAAATTCTCATTTAATGCCTCAAAAAATACAGTCGTTTGGAGACAATACATGGTTTCTCACATAGCACTCGTCTACTATTTTCTAGTTTGTATGAAAACCCACAATTTTTCATAAGACGCCACAAACTTGTATCAGAACCGTCATAGAGATGCTTGTTTCTTAATTGTGTTTTTAGAACTTTAATTGTAACGTGCTCTCCTTTTGCTTTCATGCCATCATGCCATTTCTAATCTCTCCTTTTATAGTATCCTTATCCTATCCACTCTTTATTCTTGTCACTGTGCGAAGACTGATTTTCAAAGCGTCCGCTACTCGTTCATGTACCAATGATAACTAAAGCAAAGGTCCGTTGTTTTCTTTTTTAAAATACTCCAATAAATGAACTACATAGTGACGCATTTCTCCTGTTATCGTTTATCCCGGCATTTTTTTATTAAATAGAACAATTAGTTATTTACAAAATAACTAATTGTTCTATTTAATAAAAAAAATGCAAAAACAAAAAATAATAAGTAGAACTGTTCGGAACAAATTCCAACAATGACTGACTAAAATCGACTAAAACAACATAAAATATCAATGGTAATTGCTACAATTATAAACCTATTAGCCAGCTCATTCAAGAACAATGCCACAAGTCATTATTGCAATGGGTATCGAAAGAGAGAGAGTTCATTTATAATAAACTGGAATTTTTAAGGTGTCGAGAGTATTATTTTATGTAATGGAATTCCACACAGTAAGAGCTCAAACTATTAATTAATTAAAAACTGTTTACTTATAAAAACTATTTCATCAGCTACTTCAAACCAGCACAGATGAGGGTAACATGTTAAAAAAACACGTCACTGCCAGCTATCTGTATTCGTAAAGAGGCCGAACTTATCACCGACACCGTATCGGCCAAACGCATCGATGTTATTGCTACAATACTGGGAGACGTGAGTGGTCTCTTCATTCCCTTCTCATCGCACTTTACCATGACGAACGTGACTCGCACAATTGAATTACGCATCTGTGTATCAGAGAGAGACGAATATTAAAAATTCCGTATTAGCTTATTTCAGGCACACGCCAAGAACGATGAAAACGAGTATAGAAACTATTCTCAATATTTACTGATCAGTGCAAAGTGCACAATTTTCACAACGTCTGTTAAATACACTCCTATAAAGTCTACCTATATAATCGCTTACCGCATTCCAAAATAACTTTACTGTTAATCGTTTGTTGTGTCTATATACTAAAGATCAATGAAAGGTTAAAAAATGTACAGATAAGCCTTGTGAAAATACCCCGATTTGTTGATTTTGCCAAAATTAAAGGATTTAAACATATGCATAACATATTCATAACAATGTGAAATCATTTTAGGTCAGTAATATTTAAGTTTACATTAGCTGTTTAGTAATTTTTATTGCCTAATATCAGAGATTCTTATCCAAGGATATTTCCATAAATATCGAAGTAAAAATTAGATAAACGGATGTTAGGAAACATGAATGTTTTATACATTTTTTTATGTTTCGAAGCAACAGAAAATAATATACAATATATTTTTGTGTTGATAGTAAAATTTAAAATTTATTTTTATAAGTCAGGATTGAACTTTGATAACCTCTAAAGGTTGTCAAGAGTGAACAGTTTTATGGGATGTGAACTATTACTTGTTTTTTCCGGTTGACTTGTCTTTTTACAAAATGTCCCTACAACAAGGTTTTGGAAATAATAATGAATTGTGTTTAATTTAAGTTTTTATCTATTTTAAAAATTTTATTAGATGAAATACATTGCTCCATTTTTATTAAAGTTGATGGTATAGGAAATACACACTTGTATAGGAAATTTTTACTTATTTGATTTCTGTATTGATGGATAACTCTATTTAAAATGTCAAAAATCTACATACTTACGATACTCTATGCCTACAAGACATTACAGAGTTTACGGTTGTTGTCAAAAATAAATGTCAAGTGTTTTGAAAGGGCTCTATGGATCTGGCTCTAGATAGACAGTAAAAATTAAAAAATGGTAGAACTAATTTCTGAAAACTACTAACAACTACTAACACGCAGATTTTCTGCTATTTCATTTTAATATTCCCAAATATGAATGCCAGAACTATGTAAATAAAGCAAACTTACCTATGATAGTCTTTTTTGCAGTAAATATTACCATCCCTGGAAAAACAGGAGTTGTCACCTTCCAAAGTCCTTCTACACTGACAACACTGTAAACAAGATGTGTGCCACCTCCTTTCTACAGCTTGGAGATAGTACCTATCAGTTATCCTTGTTCCACAGCCAGCGCATATAGCACCTGAAAGAAGATATCTTATATATATATATATATATATATATATATATATATATTATATATATATATATATATATATATATATATATATATATATAGAAAAGAAAAGATATTTAATCTTTGCAGATAAGTTAAATAGTAAACTCTTAAATATTGGGGAAATCTGCAAGAAAAACTCTAATGTGTATCAATTGTTTCGCTTAACGTTTTCGCCAAAGAGAATTAATTTGGCTTCTTCAGGGCTGACAGAGAATAAATTATAATTAACTACCATATATTATCTAATAACAAACATTTACCTTACCGTAAATTTTAAAAATGTCGAGTTATGATGTTAAAAAACTTTAGCTAGTAACAACATAGTGGTGCTTTTTTGTTACTATGTGCAAAAAAGTGTTTTTGTTGGAAATGTATGGTAGCTTTGAACTTAAAACGCAAAGGTTTACCCAAGGTTAATCGAAAAACCCAATGTAACTACATTTAGAAGAAGTAATTCTTTGAATTGTCGGCAATAACTAAATTTTTGTATATTATAAAGTTTGAATGTGAGCTTCTGTTTTCATAGAACGCAAGCGCTGACAATTAGAAGTAGTACTTTTGATTATTTATGTCGTTAAGGTTTATGAACATTTCCAACGTTAACAAAAATACTTTTTTGCACATAGTAACAAAAAAACACCACTATGTTGTTACTAGCTAAAGTTTTTTAATATCATAACTGGACATTTCTAAAATTTACGGTAAGGTAAATGTTTTTTATTAGATAATATATAGTAGCTAATTATAATTTATTCTCTTTCAGCCCTGAAGAAGCCAAATTAATTCTCTTTGGCGAAAACGTTAGGCGAAACAATTAATACACATTAGAGTTTTTCTTACAGATTTCCCCAATATTATTTAAGAGTTCACTAATATATATATATATATATAAATATATATATATATATATATATATATATAAGGACATTTCTAAAATTTACGGTAAGGTAAATGTTTTTTATTAGATAATATATGGTAGCTAATTATAATTTATTCTCTTTCAGCCCTGAAGAAGCCAAATTAATTCTCTTGGCGAAAACGTTAGGCGAAACAATTGATACACATTAGAGTTTTTCTTGCAGATTTCCCCAATATTATTTAAGAGTTCACTAATAGATATATATATATATATATATATATATATATATATATATATATATATATATATATATATATATATATATATATATATATATAAGGCTAATGAGTTTGGTTAGATCATATGTTTTTATAAAGTACCTTCCTATTTCTCGTTTATATATAACCCCAATTTTAGTGAACAAGTTAAAAGGGATACGGAAAGAAGAGTGGAAGACCGACTTTACTACCGTCCAGTGCACAAAGAGCCCCATTCTCATCGGATAGTGATACTTGTGCTAGAGGTAACCGGCATGCAGATGTGTAACTTAAATAAAAACACAAAGCCTAGTCCTAATCATATTCACAAAAGGTGCATAAAAAACTCCCAAAGAGTACTATCCCGCTGTTTACAAACCTTATCAATACCTGCCACTTGTTTAACTACTTTTCCACATCTGTGGCCAACACAGTCATGATTTCCGAACCAGAAAAACTCTCAACCAGCAATAAATTCTACAAACCTGTCTTAATGCTCATCATCCAAGTTAAACTCTAAGAGAGGATCCTAAAGAAGAGACTTGAAAAATTCCTAGATGCACATCTTCTCATTCTCAACTTCCAATTTAGATTTAGAGCTAAAAACTCCGCACAAAACGCATCGATTGAAGCAGCAACCCTTATACCACAAGCCCTCAATGAAATAACTAGATATTCCATATGCATGGTCTTTGATGGAAAGAAGGCCTTCGATCAGGTTTTGCACGCAGGCCTGTTCAAAAAGTTTCACCTTACTGGACTGCCTTTCCCCTTCTTAAAACTAATCCATCCCTATATATCCAATCAGGCAATCCGAAAAGTCGCTAACACACTACTCAATACCATTGCCTCTACAAGCTGGAGTCCCGTAGGGCTCAATTCTGGGACCAATATTATACACAGACTAGATCAGAGTCAATATTATTATTAGCTGACGATACTGCACTCCTCTCTGCAGGAACACACAATGCGACACAGACATACGTATCTGTTCGATAGAGCACAGGACCAGGTAAACGGAATTGTCAAAAGGTGCAACAAATGAAGGGTCACACTCAATCCCTTCAAAACTCAATTAGTTTTATTTAAATTTCCTTACAAACGCGATGTTGTGAAAAACCAACTAGCCCTCCTAGGGAAAAGTCTTAACTGGGACAATGATATTAAAGACACTCTAGACAAGGTAAGAAAAAGTACTAGATTCCTGTGCGCGTTGTCTAGAAAGCTCGGAAATATCGCTAATGAAACTCTCTTGTACACCTACAACGACTTTTATCAGGATATCATTGTATACAAGGTGTGTGTTTACACAACACTATATCCTCGCCAAACCAACACCATTGTGGTAACAGAAACGAAAATCCTTAGGAAATATTCAGATTATTAATTAGCACTATTTCGCCAAATTGCAAATGTAACATCAATAAAGGACAGAGACGATCTCTCAGCAATATAAACGTCCTCCGCACAATAGTTGGCTCCAAAACAGAGATAAGCAAACATTAGGGACTCCCTACTACCTCCGAGGACACATACTTCTACATAGATTCCCTCTAACAAAGGTTCGATTTCCTCCAGCCTAGCTTCTACACTTTGCTGGTAATGAACTTCCTGATAAGTCTCTCTCCCCCTCAAATGTCGTAACTGTACAACAAAAACACTAATTCAGAACCATTCCTATTATAGCTGGTAACACCTTCTACTCATGGCTTGGTTGGCTAGTCTAATTTTTCCCTTATAGCACTCCTTTTCTTCATCACCACCTTCTAAACCTCCTTTCTATAGTCGCATACAACTCCAACAACTTATTCGCAATTAATGTTGCTCGTTCTCCTCAGAAGCTTTCGAAAAAAGGATGCAGGCTCTTTTTAAAGAAACAGAAGCTTAAACAAGGTACTAACGTTTAGTGGCAACCATCTGTTTAAGAAACGTACGAACTAGTTTTAGATAAACCAATTTGGAAATTGACTTCAGTTCAGTTGAATTAGAGTGTACCCTATTGGTGCTCGTATTCGGTGATATAAAGACCAAAAGAGATTTGAGCTTTAACATTAAAATTGAGATTTTAACTGCTTTTAACATCTTTTATCAACGTCTGTTTGCCTTGCAATTTTTAGAAGGCTCAGATTATAAGCAAAAATCTGAATTGTGTTTCGAAACTATTTTACGGATTTTATTATTAGATGTCGCTATTGCGTCCGTATTGAAGCCATTTTAGTGTTGCTTCTTAAAAGACAGAAAATATTGATTTTTCACGTTGAGAACACCTATGAATAACTGTTCTGATGAGACCTATTAGGTCGAAATACGTATCAACAGATACATAGGCGCTGTTTGCGTGAAATCAAATATTTGCTGTCTTTTTCATTTTATTCGGATCTGCTCTGTACGACTACAAGAAACACAATTCGCTAAGGACTTCTGCTTAGTTGTAAAGACATGTCGTGGAATACAAATTTTAGATTCCCCATGTCCCTTTTAACATCTTTTATCAACGTCTGTTTGCCTTGCAATTTTTAGAATGCTCAGATTATAAGTAGAAATCTGGATTGTGTTTCGAAACTATTTTACGGATTTTATTATTAGATGTCGCCATTGCGTCCGTATTGAAGCCATTTTAGTGTTGCTTCTTAAAAGACAGAAAATATTGATTTTTCACGTTGAGAACACCTATGAATAACTGTTCTGATGAGACCTATTAGGTCGAAATACGTATCAACAGATACATAGGCGCTGTTTGCGTGAAATCAAATATTTGCTGTCTTTTTCATTTTATTGAGATTTTAGGGTTTTAGAAATATGTACTAGATGAGCTACTAGAAGCTGATAATAATGAGACACGGGTGTAGTGAATGTTTTAACGATTATCTTCTAGCTCAAAAAATATAATGATTAAACACAGCAGTCTAGATTTTTACATGTATATTTGAAAAAATAATTCCTATTAACATATTACATTAAGCCAACTCCAAATTGTGTGGAATGGCACAGGCACTGTGTTTCTCAACTGCTGAATATGCATGCCCCGTTTGGAGCAGATCTGCCCACACCAAACAAGTTGATATTGCGCTAAATGAGACATGCAGGATAGTAACGGGGTGCATGAAACCAACGCCACTTTCAAATCTATATAGAGCAGCGGGTTTTGCAGAACCCTCAACACGCAGAGGCGCTGCAGAACACATAGAGAAAATTAAACAGATCGCGGACGATCGGCATGCCCTATACAAAGCTCGAACACCACGAAAGCGACTAAAATCTAGGAAAAGCTTCCTTGGAACAGTGAAGGATGAACCGCCTGAGTATTTTCCACTTTCCCAGGTTCAATGGACCGGCCAGACCCTAGACTTTAAAACGTGGAAAACCTTGAATAGGATAAGAACGGGGGTTACTACAGTAAAATCAAACATGGCAAAATGGGGAAAAATAAACCAAGATGATGTGAACTGTGACTGTGGAGAAACACAGAATATGGAACATCTTCTTACATGCAGAAACTGTCCTCATCGATGTACCCTTGAAGATTTGTGGCTCGCCAACAAAGATGGAACCGACGTAAGCCCGATACTGGGCAGAAATTTTATGAATGACATGTCCGGACACGATAAAGTAAAGTAAGCCAAAGATAAGAGAAATTTTTTAGTATGTCTAAATTCTTCAATCCTGTAGTTTATATTAATTTTAGTTTTATACATTTTAGATACGGTTACGATAGATTTAAAATACGGTTCTTCGGACATAGTATACGAAATGAATCCAGATATGCTCTCATTCAAGCCATCCTGCAAGGAAAAAAATTGGGAAAACGAGGTCCAGGAAGAAGAAGAACATCTTGGTTAAAAAACCTCAGAATCTAGTTCAATACAGCATCTGTGAAGCTTTTTTGCGCTGCTGCTGACAAAATAAAGATTGCCATGATGATTGCCAACATTCGTAACGCATAGACACATCAAGAAGAAAAAGAATATAAATGTTATATAAATTTTGATGATGATGTTGATGTCAAATTCTCTGATACCCTTTACTTACCGTTCTCTTCAACGCAGCTAGCTGCAGGACTCTCCGGAGGCGTGGAAGACTGTAAAGGCTCTATCTTTGGTATATGCTGTTCAAAAGAAGAATGAGGCCTGCACAGATCTGGCGGCGTAAGTGGCCTTTGCGTCTGGTGCTGAGACAGCCCCGAAGATCCGTGTGGCGGCCTGCAAATCTCTGATCCGCACGATTGGTGGTTGTTGTTGGATGGAGTGCTGCAAGAACTACCACTAGAGATACTCTGTTCGGGATCACCCATTGACGAATCACACGAGGGAAGATTCGGCGAGAGGTCTCGTGACGGATCATACGCCGGGCCAATATACTGCTCGTGCTGCTGCTGAAACGAAGAATTATTTTAGAAAATAGATCAAAGGTAACATCATTTAATATGTATCAAATGTACATAATATCTTGAATTTATCTGCTAGTGGTCCAAATACTACTGCTGGTTAGTAGTCGCTGCTTTGAAATGCTAAAAAAAGTGAAGATGGGTTTTTATTTGGATATATTTTAGTTCTATAATAAATATATAATTTAGTTCTTAAAAAAACTTTGTTTGTCCATTCTATTTTTTAGCAAAAACCTTACAAAAAAAAGTGTAAAACAACTTTGACAACGCTACAGACAACTACTCGTGTCAATGAACAACTACTGACTCTAGATGGATACGACGCACCAGCACAGACGTGCCTGTGCTACCACGGACGAGACATTTCCTATGGTGCGTGAGTGCAAGCTGGTCCGAGTCCATCCGCAATATCGCCGATCGTGGGAAGCCGCTTTTATACAGCCGACTAGAGAATTTGTAAAATATAATAAAAAAGTAGACCCATCTCGATAAAAACTGGCTTATCAAAAAAGTACTAAGAGCCAAAAGTTTTTAAAAATATCATGTTTAACTAATGGTACCACGATAATAATTTAATTGGGGGTTCAAGGGAACAAAACCCACATAAAATTTGTATGGGGTGTAGAAATTTCACTGTTATTTATTTTTAAAGATATTCCTGCCATAATAGGGCCACATGTTCATTTTTAATATAAAATCTCCAATAGTTTATAATATATTGGAAAAAATAGATTGTCATTTTGTAACTTCAAAAGGCTGTACCTTTTTTATATGCATATTTGTACTAAGGTAAGTTAGGTTCAATTGAACTCTTTTTTGTCCCAGAATACGCGATTTAACCCATTTATGCCTAGCGTTGCGTTTTCGTAACAGTTGACATAGCCCACTATGGCGTCATTTTTTGGAAAATGACATTACTTATTGGACAGTCAAGGTTCAAATTTATTTCACAACAGTTTCCTATGTATGTTTTAGTAAGACTTGGTCGCAAAATTTAGGTTTCTATTAACAGATGGCATATTGAAAGTGGTAAGTGAATTTTTATTTGGGTAAACACATGTATTTAGTTAGTAGTAAGTCGTTTGTGTATAAATTAACTAAGTAAATATATAGTTTTTGATAGCAACTTATTGTTAAATCATTGAAGAGGATATATCTATTAAGTAAGTGCTATTATTTTATCTGTGCTAGTTGGTACAACTGCCAATTATCGGTGTTGCATTTTGGCAACACTGGACACAAGGCATATTATTAGTACAAAAAACTATTTTTTTCTAGAAGGTGGAAATAAGATATCAAACCAACTTGGCTCGACCAGTTTCGGTCGTGATAGTAATAATAGTCGTCCTAAAAAATTTTTTTACGAATCAAGAGCACATTAAATTATGTCCCTGCTGGAAGAATCAAATCTTATGGAGTCAGCTTCCAGTGCAGATGTTTTCGTAGCACCTCCTGATCCTACTGAATTGACTGCAATATATACTGCACAATACTGAACAGAAATATGTTGGATGCGGAATCAGAATCTGTAATTCATTAAGAAGAAGAAAGAATGATTGACCAAAAAAATAAAAATCTATATGAAAAAGAGGCCGATCTTAAAAGTGTAACACAAATTCAGGTAAAAGATACGGAAGAGAAAAAAGTGGCATCTACTGAGATTCATGCAAAAAGTGTAACTCTTCTATCACGGAAATGGATTCAGGGAGATTTACCGGATGAAAATTCCCATTATTTGGAGATTGAAAATAAATAAGATTTTCCATTTTAACGATAACCTAAACATAGATCGTTCAGACAAAACAAACAAAATTTCGGCGTACTTTGAAAGCCTCCGTAAATCTTTTATTGAACACACTGTATGGAAAACCGAATCTAGCGTGGACAATGCCATGATACCATACTATGGGCGTCATGGTATGAAACAACACATAAAAGGCAAGCCCATACGCTTTGGGTATAAATCGTGGTGTTGCATTCAGAAATCTGGTTACCTTATAGATTTTAATATTCATCAAGGAGGGAAAACCCAATGAATACAAAAAAGAATTTGGCCTTGGAAATGTAATAATATTGCAGTTTGCTCAACTTATTCCTCAAATACAATGCGATAGGTTTATGCCTCATTGCTAATATGCTGATAATTATTTCACCTCTATTAAACTAATTGATTTTTTAACATCGAAGGGAATAGATTACGTAGGAACCATAGGATCAAATAGAATAGAATACTATCTATGGAAATCAACAAATTAAAAAACACAGATATAATTCTGAATGACCAACTTGAGAAAAACAGTTCTCCCTCCTCAACCTATGTCATTAGAGACTATAAATTTGTAAACCCAAGCCAAAATAAATCACTTGAGAAAGGCAATCAGCCGAAACAGCTGTAGTGATAATATTTAAAATAAATTTTGTGGAAGTTTGACAACAAAGTTTTCAGTGTTTTATTGTTACAGAATACTATCAATTCAGTGAAACGTTCAAAAAATCCATACATGAAATTACGAATACAACAAGAAAAATAGGGTGCTTTTATGTAGGTAGAATGACAACAGCATAGTTACTTTGGCATCGAATTACCATAAAACGACGACAGTTTATCAAGCGAACAGATACTCTTTTGTCCAAAGCAAAAAAATCAAAGTAACCCAACCCCATCTTATTCTTCTTCTATATTTAGTATAAAGAAAATATGGAGGAACTGATCGGATGGATCAAAATGTTGCCTATTACAGAACAAACGTAAGATTCAAGAAATGGTATATTGGACTTTATTTATCTGGGTCTTAATGTCTCCATACAAAATGCTTGGTTAATTTACCGTAGAATGAGATAAATTATCCCTGAACAACTCGAAATGGATTTGCTGCAGTTTCGTCGAAATATAGCCAAAGCCTTGTTGATGATGCTCGGAACTCCTCCAAGAAGATCTGGTCCATCTCAATCTTTCATAAACAACATTACATAAGATGTTCTTATTTTTCTACCCAAGAAAAAGTAACCCGATACGTCCTTTGTCACTCAACAACCAATAAATGATGTATTAAATGTAACGTTGCATTACATGATACATGTTTTATTAAAGTTCAAAGCAATACGCAATAATTTTTTTATATTATTTTCATTTCAGTTTATTTAAAAATTTTTTTTACGATTTAATAAAATATTCCAAACAATGTACACTCCGCCAAAAAAGTATCGCATCACCTATGAAACTGCAAATTTTGTATTAAAAATAATTTAAAACATAGATTTTTTACTGTTGTTTTTTTTTTTGTTTTTTAAGTATGTAACAAATATTAAAAGAAAAATGCAGACTGTACGAAAAACAAAGGTTTTATTTAACTTATTTCATAAATTAGACGTAAGTGCACAAACAGTATTGAATAAAAAAAGTAAAAATCAAAAGTAATGATAATTTAGTAAGATTTATTGCCTGCTCTAGCTCTTATAACATCTAGACAACGTTGTGGCATACTTCCAATTAATCTTTTTAGATCATCTTGATCGATATTATCCCATTCTACGGTTAACAACCGTTGAAGGTACTGAAGATTAGCTGGTGTCACATTACCAGATCTCAGCCTTCTGTAAAGATGGTCCCAAACATGTTCTATTAGATTTAAGTCCGGGCTGTGCGCTGGCTAATTCGAACCTTGTAAATTTACCTCTTGAAGGTACTCGGTAACGATTCTTGCGACGTCTGGGCGTGCATTGTCATGCATTAAAACAAAGTCATTACCAATAAATGGGGCGTAAGGAACAATATGCATCTCCAAAATTACCCTAATTTACCTATTAGCAGTTAAGGATCCTCCATCTAGCTGTACCAATTCGGTTTGACCCCTCAGAGATATTCTGCCCAGAGCATAATAGATCCTCATCCAAAGTTTGTCGCCGGTAGTCTCTCTCTTCAATCCTGACCCCTCAGGGGGAGTGTAGTGGTCGACGTGATGTCGTGTATTGTCCGTCTCCAGAGATCTCTGTCTCTGGTCATTTCTTTTAATTCATGCATAGGTCTTTGGCATATTCCTGTAATTTGATCTATTTATCTTGTTGGGGATCTTCCTCGTGATCTTCGGCCTTCTACCTTTCCTTGTATTACTGTTGGAGATGGACTTTACTAGAGGGTCGTTGGCTAACTTTTAGCTCTCTTAAAATTGAATTATTTGTTCTACGGTCGGTCCAAGGAATTCGTAACATTCGTCTCCAACAGAACATTTCAGTGGCGTCTATCTTTCTTCTCTCCGATTGTCTCAGAGTCCAAGATTCACATCCGTAGGTCAGTATTGGGAATATTAAGCAGTTGATCAACCTCATCTTTATCGCTCTTATAATTTGACATTCCTTCCATATTTTGGTAATTTTTGCTGTGGCAACTTTTGCTAGATCACATCTACGTTTAATCTCTTCTTGTAATGACCCTGTGTTTGTGATTAATGATCCCAGATATGTATGAGCCCACAACCTCGAACCGGTCAATTGTGGTTATGTGTGGATGATTGTTGTGTAGTCTATCCACTATCATGATCTTTGTCTTTGATATGTATAATTGCAAACCAAATATTTGACTTTCGTTTTCGATCAGTCGTATAAGTTTAATCAGCTCTGCTTGACTATTTGCAAGAAGGGTTGTGTCATCTGCAAAACGTAGGTTGTTTAGTTTATGACCATTTATTGAGATGCCCTTTTCCCTTTAAGTGCTCTTCGCATAATATACTCTCCATACATGTTGAATAATTGTGGAGATAGTATACATCCTTGTCTGACACCCAGTTCTGGATGAAACTCGTTCGAAAGTGTGTCAAGTACTTTAACTGATCCAGTAGTGTGTTCATATAGTTCAGTTATAAGCGTAATTAGATGCTGTGGTACGCCTACTTCTTTTAGTATTGGCCATAAGTGTCTCCACTTGACCCTGTCGAACACTTTACGGTAATTTATAAAACAGATGTATAGTGGGATGTTGAATTCCCTAGATT